AACATCCATCTTATTACAGCAGTCAGACAGTCCATTTGGTTCAGCTATCCTCTCATAAATCACCTATACAGTAGGTCCAAACTGAATGCACTGTGTAAGACTGAGAGAGAGAGAAAATGAGCGAGGGTTCCCTCTAGTGCAGAAAGTGGGTTGTGCAAGCTTTTGTTAGTGGCAGTTCATAAAAAATTGCTGGACATTAATATGTCCTGAGGGCTGGTATTCAAACTCGAATAAGTTAGAAGCTTCTGCTAAATGACTGCATAGCTTTTTATAAGTGAGTTTATTTTTTATATATCAGCCTGCCGTAGAAATACCATATTGGCTCGAATATAAGACGACCCTGATTATAGACCCTTTTTCCAGATGTACCTTTTGGAAAAAGGCTTTTTAAAAGCCAGATCTTGTTTTTTCTCAGTAAAACCCATTTTGTCTTCAATTATTTTCATATTGCATATTTTTCCTATTTTATTTTTTGTTTTGAAAGTATGGTAAAAACTGGTAAAATGTACCAACAATCACATTAAAAAAATATACACTTAAAAAAAATAAAATAAAATAAAAAACAGGTAGCCCATCTGAATTAGGACATTTAGGCTATCCATCTAATAGTAGCCTACCAAAATCTTATTAAGAGTAGAAGTTAAATCATACTGTAGTCTTCAAATCTGGGTACTGTCTTACGTTTTAAAATCACAAAGGGAGTTTGGTCCCATCAGGGTAACGTGACAGTCACGACTCATGCAGCTGTAAGGTTATCTTTCTCTTTTGTTTTTACTCGCGATCTTTACAACACGCATTACATTACGTAGTTCATGGCACACTCGTTTTATGCGTATTTGGCGCCACCTATTGTTGGGGTGTATTATTGACATATCAAAGTCTAGACCCTGAATATAAGACGACCGCGTTTTTTCAGATGTATTTCCAAGAAAAATACATCGTCTTATATTCGGGTCAATACGGTAAGTGTGAACAGTTAGGTTTCGTTTTTCTCACGTTCATTTATTTATATCTCACTATGTTTTGTTTTTTTCACTGCTCACAGACACGAGTATGATGTACAGCATTTTAAAGTTATGAAGGATAAATCGGGCCAGTACTACTTGTGGACGGACAAGTTTACCTCTCTAAACAAGCTTGTAGAGTTCTACAAGACCACCTCCATATCCAAGCAGAGGGAGATCTTCCTTAGTGACGGAAGTGGAAATGAGCCACGAGCACCTCCACCTGTAAATAATCTCTAGATTTAAATCCATAAATACAGTTTGCTCTTAATCTTCCAGGTTACTGTTTATACTTAATCTCAACTCCATGAAGACACACCTAATCATTAAACGTTCTTTTTGCTGTCTCTGAACTCATTTATCTGCTGATTTCTCTTGTTTTCAAGAGACAGCTGATGTAAGAAAATCAAAAAGTAAGGCTCTGTGGTGAAAATTTTAATTTAAAATTTAAGATTTTTTCAATGCACTATGAGCCGATTCTGTCAAACATGGCTTTTAAATGTGGATGAAGCTTAGAGTATGTGTACAGGAGATGAATAATATTAATAAAATCAATAAATGGTCCTCATTTTCAGTTAAGGAGTCAACCTGACGTTCGGCCTTCCCCAGGTGGTGGTTATGGCGGTCCCCCAACCTCATCACAACACCGCAACACAACAGATCAGAGTCACAACCAGAAGGTACGAGCATGTCAACAGTCATATTCAAGCCCATCTGTGCATGCATTTAAAACTGAAAAACCTTGCTGAATTATTGAAAAGCTGTCATTCATATTGAAGTACATTAGCCTCTATTCCATTCAACTAACCAACTGTTCCTATAGTCTTGCAAAAACTGATTATTAAAACACATTAAAACTAATTATTTTAAATATAAAATATTGTGTAAAATACAATATAAAATATGTATTGCATTTAATTTTCTAATAATATATATATTGATAAATATAACTGCTCTTTTCTCAGAGTAAGAGAGGAAGTGTTGAGGATAAAGCTAACACTGTGGGACACCAAGGGAGGAACAGCCCAGCCCCTCGGCGAACCTCTGAAACTTTGCCTGCTCCGGTATGACACCAGAAATTCTCAGAAACTGTCTCATGAGCTGTCAAGAGTGTCATCACACAAGACTGTATTTAAAGGGGTCATATGATGCGATTTCAAGTTTTCCTTTCTCTTTGGAGTGTTACAAGCTGATTGTGCATAGATAAGATCCCTGAAGTTGCAAAGACTAAAGTCTCAAAACCAAAGAGATATTCTTTATCAAAGTTAAGACTCTGCCATGCCCCCCTAAAACGGCTCGTCCTAACACGCCCCACATATCTACCTCACTATGTGGAAATATTAGCATAATGCGCCCAAATGTGCACGCAAAGAAAGAAGGCGTGGTTTCAGTAACCGCAGTTAGTGTTGAAGCAGCATGTCAGGGAGACGCTGTGTGTTTCTAGGCGAAAGCAAAAGCACTTTATTTGGCCTTCCGAAAGTAGATGCATTTAGGAATCTTTAAGATGACTTACAACAGAACAGCAATGCATTTTATGGACGACCGTTTCGTGAACCTAGGAGAGGAGGTCATTCTGACTTTGCTATGACAATCTGGCGCTTCTGAATCAGCTACTGTTTTGTTATTAGTTTAAGTATTTGCTATTGACTGTTCAAATGCGGAGTTTTGCGCATCGTGTGTTTACTGCACACATACCAGCTTCATCACTGTGTCTGTCACGCGACTCTGTTCCCCTTTCGGGCTTGAACTGATGGTAAAACTAATGACATTATTTACTGTCTTTACATTTATTTTGAAAGATGACGCTCGTGATTATGGTAAGGGTCGTTACATTTCCGACGAGTGCTTGCGGTGTTCAGCCAATCACAATGCACTGGGTCAGCTGGCCAATCAGAGCAGACTCCGCTTGTCGGAAGGAGGGACTTTGTAGAAAACGAAGCATTTGAGAGAGGCGGGGCATAGAGGACCTACAATAATGTACAGTATTTGAAAAATAATGTGTTTTTTTTACCATTAAAGAATGTCAACATATTCTGTTACACCAAATACACAAAATAATTATCTTTAAAAAAGCATCATATGACCCCTTTAAATCTTGTGTGAACTTCTTTCTTTTTTTTTTAAAGGTGATGTTTGTAATATTTTTCGAGGTTAAAATACTTTACTATCCTATGTTATGGTGCGTTCAAGTCAAGTCGGGAAAGATCGTATTTACAAGCTGATCACACATGAGCGCCACCACAAAGTTGTAATTACGAATGGGAAACTGAATTTTCTGAATCTAAGTTGCATCTACAAAACACAATAGTATTGTACAATTACAATAGAATATATAACGATTCAGTTTAAAGCAACGTCATAAAATGAATAAAAATAGAAAACCGTAAAAACACACCGAAGCACATTCTTTATTCATTATTTTGTAGATGTAGATTTTAAAATTAAATTTTATGTAGAAAATGTACATCGCCATCTTGCTCCGACCAAAGTGACTTGAATGCACCTGACATCACAATTACGACTTGCCAACTCATAAATATGAACTTCCCAAGAGGACTTGAACACCATTTATATGCTGAGACAACTAACCAATGGCTTGAGTATGGGGGCTGAACTATCTGTTTGTTCAGCCAATAGAATGTGAGGGTCTTCAAGAAACTTGTTTGTAAACTTTTTTTTTTTTGCAATTCCTTTTTATGATGCACAGAAATTACACACTGCACCTTTAAATGGCTATATATGGTTATTTATTTACTAATATTTATTGGTAGTCTATCCATATACATTAGTAAAATCAGTAAAATGCAGATTTTACTTTAATGTCCTCAGTATTAAAAAAAAGATATATAGGAACCAGCCATTTAGGAACATTAAGGAACAAAATTCAGAAGGATATTAGTACATTTTATTATACTGACCATTTATTGTGTGTGTGTGTGTGTGTGTGTGTGTTTTAGAGGTCAACCATACAGGTGATGGCAATGTATGACTTCACAGCAGAGGAAGATGACGAGTTGGGCTTCAGTTCCGGTGACATCATTGACGTACTGGACCGTTCTGATGTGTCATGGTGGAAAGGTCGATTGCGCGGCAGGACTGGTCTTTTCCCTGCCAATTACACAGAACAGATCTAAAGTCTTCTGATTGCTCAGAGGTGTGGAATCACTATAATAAGAGTCAAATCTATCATTCTCTTACCAAATGCCTGTCAATAATGTATGGACTGGTCGATTATTTTCAAATGACTTTTTATAAAACTGGCTGCAGAACTGTTGAGGAGAAGTGAGAAAAAGACTCATGAAGCTCTTTGTTGCTTCTCTTTTTCATATACATAACCATTTTTTTGTTTTCAATTTCACAAATATGGTACGAAGAATGAACTATACCATTTCCCTTATGTGTCAAATTCTCATAATGATTAGACATTTCTCTTATATGAACTGCTGAATTATACAGTACATAGCCCATACAATGACCCTTCAGTTCATGTTTATATTTTAAGATCTTCAGTAGGACACACTAAGACAAGATACAGTGTTACAGTAAGCAAAGATTTTATGTTACTGTACCAATTTTTGTATTAAAAAGAGACGTTTTTAACAAATGTCAGTTGTCAAGACCCATGGCACAGGCAGAAGAGGTATGATTAGTGTTTTGTTATACAAGATGAAAAATAGGGATGGCAAATATGGTAATAACAGCGGTAAAGGACTTGAATAAATCTTTCTGTGTCAAGTGATATCTTCAAAGGAATTGTTCAACCCGCCATCATTTAATCACCGTCATGTTGTTTCAAACCTGAAGGACTTAATTTGTATTTTCCGTGTAACACGGAGGAAATAAAGTTACATGTAAACTATAACAGGACATAAATAAAAAAGTAAACTTTCATTTTTAATTATTTTATTATTAGTATTTGTTTATTTGTTTTCTGGTAGTTGTATTCCTTTATTTACTATTTTGGTTGGCGTCAGTCAAGGAAACTACCATGACGGTTTCATCCGTGTTTATTTTAAATTAAACAAGTGTCATCAATTCAATTCACAAGAACCGGCGTACAGACTCCGGTACAGAGCGCTGAATCCCCGCCTACCGCTCTACCGAAGCTCCGCCCAACCATTCTCCTCAATCTCGCTCAGAAACACCTCAACCAACCACTCAAACAGGTACAGGTGTGCTGAGCGTTCTGGCTGGAGTCACGCAGGTGAACCGTTGTTTCCGGGAGCACAGCTGCCATGGCTGAGTCTCAGCTAGTATGCATGGACGATGAATATGTTAACGTGAAAATACCGGAGTCCAAGCCGGAGTTTTACTACAGCGAGGAGCAGCGGGCCGCGCTCGAGCAGCTCTTGAAGAACGGGGATGGCGCGTTCAAGATGCGCCTCAAAGAGGATAACATTAAAGACTTTCTCTCCGCAAGGGAAATCAAATGGATGCGGGACACCTTCCAGGAATATGACAGTGACTCGGACACCTGCTGCTCACGGTCGCCCCATGATACGAGTGAAGACTCAGGTGTCCACTCAACCTACTGGCCGACCATGTCTGACACGGAGATCCCTCCGCTAGACATCGGTTGGCCTAGCAACGGCCATTACAAAGGGGTAACTCGGGTGTCGGTTTACACCCACCCATCCAAAACCAACAGTCCGCATATTAAAGAGGTGGTCCGCAGACTCATTCAAGAATCCACAAAGGTAAGCGATCAGCCGTCTACCACTTATTCCTACTACGAAATGGTATCTATTTTTTGTTACTAGTTCTTTTTTAAATAACTAGTAGAACTAAGTATTCCAATAATAATTAGGTAATTAATGAAAATTCCACTAATAACTATTCATTAGTCATTAGTAGGCTACTTAGTGACCTATATCTGTTCAATTAGTCATTATATGTGTGCATTATATACGAGTACAGTAGTATACCAACAAGTAACTATCCCATTGTTTCTGGTTACTATTTGTAATGTTTTGCACAGGTCAAACAAATTACAATATTTCTAACTTGTGTGATGCTGGTAGCTATTCAAGTTATACTAGTATGCTAGCTATTTTTGAGGTATCAGTACTTAGTTACTAGTCAAGTCACCTTTATTTATATAGTGCTTTATACAATAATAATAATTCATTACATTTATATAGCGCTTTTCTAGGCACTCAGAGCGCTTTACATTGTCGGGGTATCGCAGCATCCACCACCAGTGTGCAGCATCCACCTGGATGATGCGACTGCAGCCATAGTGCGCCAGATCGCCCACCACACACCAGCTTATTGGTGGAGAGGAGACCGAGGGATGAAGCCAATCAGTAGATATGGGGATTGTTAGGAGGCCATGATGGTCAGAGGCACAATACAGATTGTGTCAAAGCAGCTTTACAGTGTCAGACAGGAAAATAGTTTGTCAATAATGCAAGAGGACAATAACAGTCAATTTTTCAATTAAGGTCAGTTCATTGATGATTCAGTGATGTCATCATCCAGTTCAACTCTTTTCCAATAGTGTCTGTAGTAACTAGTCCATTTCCAGGAGATTTTCATTATCTAGTTTTCCTAGTAGTAATCGAATAGTCAATAGTACGTTTTTATTAGACCACTATTATCAGACAGAAACATCAGTGAAGTAACTAGTGAAATGTTACTGCTGGGATAAATGCTATAAGTCTGTGTCTCATACGTGTATCTAATAAAAATGTATGTGTATTGAAATAGATACTAGTCTCAGTATCAGAAGTAGTAACAGAAATATATAGTTCGTTTTAAGGAAATAAGTAATGTGTCCTGACTTACGCTAAGTAATATTTAAGATGTTTTATAGATTTATTGGTTTCAGTTGTATGATTCACATGATGATGAAGCATGCGGCCAAAGCCAGCTTTACTGTAGGTTTATATGGGGCTGTCATTATGACATATTTTGAAGTTAATTGTCAGTCATGTGCTCTGAGCATAAGATCATCATTTAATCAAATAAAATGTTTTGTTTTAAAACAGTCTTTTTACCATAAAGTTGTGGGAATATGGAAGAAGGAATAATCGAATAAAGTTCAAATATTAAGAATGAAGTTCAGCAGATTTTGTTTGCTGAAGAAGACACATTTCTTCAGAAACTGCCGAGGCCTGATCCCTGGGGCTGTGGGTATTTTGGTGAAGTGCTGTTTATTTGTGAAATAGCTCTGAGATCTTATTTGGAAATCACCCTGACTAAACATTGGTCTTTAGTCATACGAATCAATATGAAACAGACACATTCATTTTAACTTTAAATGAAAAGAATAAAAATAAATAAATACAAACACTGCAAAAAGATAATTAACTTTTAATTCAAATCTAAAATAGTATACAGTACCTATACATTACAAAACTGATAATTAGCAAATACATTCTGAACTGCTACATTCATTTAATTTTGTCAACTTTTATGTCAACTTTGATGTGAAGTAATTATTAAATCTAACGATGGAATTGTTATTAGAATAATACATTAATAACTAGTAAAAAGAAACTGTGTTCTCAGTTTCCCCCCAAAAAAAACAGAACAGAGGTGTCTTGCCATTGGTTAGATCAGGTAGTATGTATAGAAATATCTCTAAACTTTTGAGCAGTATGATGTCATTGTGAATGAGTTTCAGTGAAAAGAGTGAAGTAATAATCAGTCAGGAAATCAGCCTCGTATAGCCTTGGGTTTTGTCTGTAAGTGCCGTGTCAATCACACTGCCGGCCTCGAGTCATTTACACACAAGTGGTAAGTTATAATGACACACTTCAGGTACAAAGCATTTCAGCTGCCTTCAGTCCACCTCCATGTACTGTACTCTAATCCTCAATTAATACAAAAGCTGTAATAAACATTCATGAAAAATGTTAACTCAAGAGCTACTACATTTCATTGCAACTCCTTATTTAGTTTCCTCGCAAATGTCTTGTAAATCTGTCATACATCCCTAACTCAATGAGATAATACATAGATCATTACAATCTTTGGACCTGATTTTAATGAGCCATCTCTGTTTGTAGCAGTAAAATTAATACAGGATGAAATATAGCTGGTTAATTTTATTGTAGATACACAAACATTTTACTTGTGTGTTCTGGTCGTCACACTGTCGTCACATCTCTTTGCGCCATAAGTACACCCATAAGACTTATTTGTTGGTGGGTAGCGATGAATCTTATTCAAATGCACTTGTCAAACTGAGTTAATGACGTTCTGACAGGTGCTGCCCTTGTTTTGTTTAGTTTTGTAGTTACACTCCTGTATATTTACTTTTATACAGCAACTCAGACTGTACTAAATTGTGACTTTACTATTCATCTATTAGAAGAACAGAAGACTCTTATTTTATACTGTTCACATTCTAGGTACATTTATTGAGTTACTGTCCAGTAATATTTAGTTGGGTGATATTTAGATGTGTTTTAAAAAGTTCAGAGCCGATTGCTGACGAGCGTTTCATTTTAGTTTCAGGAAATCAGGTGTCAATGTTAGCCTTAGACTATGTCCACAGGACATTGTATTAACATATTATTCAGGTGGATCCTGACGCTCATACATACAGTATCTTTGATGTCATGTGAAACAGACGGTGCCTCCTCTTGAGGAACTGATAGAAACATGCTTGTCTGGAAATGTTAGAAATAACATTTCCTTGTACTGTAATTTGCGCAAGAAGCTTAAAATTGTTATTAGTTCCTTGTCTGAAGAATAGTTTATGATCAATACAACATAATATATTTTTGACTTTAGCAGAAGAACAGAATCTGTGTCATCAGAAGTGATTCAACAGACACTCCTGTTCAGCTGTTATCCGTGTTTTCTCTTTAATGCAAATTGCTTCATTTTTATTTACATAGCTCTGAGGTGCCAGTCAGTGAGGATGAAGAAGGGATTGAAGCCTAACCTTAAAACCTTTAGAGCTTTGAATTGACTCAATAAATTTAAACTTGTTTTTCCAAGTCATGATGAGTTTTATGCTGACCTAGTTTGCATTTTATTTGTTAAAACACTGTGGTGTGTGGTTTATAACACATATGTGCCCTTTGACACAGATTGACTGCTTGGTTTCATAAATAGCTTGTGACTCATGTTGAACTTTTTCATTGCTAATGTGTCTGCTGGAGTGTCTGCTCTGCGTTATCTCACCAACTGTATATTTCACGTGTTCATTCAAACTGAGACAAACTGCACTGCAAAAAGAGTCAAAGCAGATGTAATGATAAGCTAAGTGAATAAACTAAGCTCTAACCACAGTTTGGTTTCACTTGGTTTTCAGTTGGTTGCAGTGGTCATGGACTTGTTGACGGACCTGCTGATCCTGCAGGATCTGTTAGATGCTGCGAGTAAGAGGGGGGTGGCTGTGTACTTGCTGCTGGAGGAGAACGGCTTGCCGCACTTCCTGGACATGAGCAGCAGACTGCAGATTTCTGCACAGCACCTGAGGGTGAGTGATAACAATTGGCTGATACAATTGAAGAAATTGTGTTTAGCATAAAACAAAAATGAAACCAATTTTATGGCAATTATTTTGTGGCATTATGTTAAGCACAAATTATTAATAAAATTATGCACAAAAAATTCTTATTTCTTATGTCTTCTATTCTTATTTCCATAATGAAAAATAAATCTCATTACCATAATAAAATACATTTAAAAACATTGTGAAATATTTATGCATCATGGTAGTATTTGTTGTACTGATTTTAATTTATGATTTTAATACAAAAAATACTTCAAATGTATCTTAGCAAAAAGAATCATCAATGAAAATAATGGGGAAAGTAAAAGTAAAACATCAGGATACATTGTGGCAATGCAAATTGGAGATCAAGGATTTTCAGTTGCCCTTACATAACGTCACAATACAAAATATTTTGGTAACATAGACTTCAGTTTTCATTGTGATCAATTTAAACTGAAATTGAATTTCAGTGATATAGATAATATATCACTGAATCTGACAATAATGTCAGGATCATATTTTACACCAAATTACAAAATAATCAAATTAATTCTATATCTATATTTTTTTTTATGTTTTATTTTATTATATTATATATATTATTTTTATTTAACACATTTTATAGGTACAATTAATTGTGTTATTATTATTATTATTATTATTATTATAAAAAAAACATTCTGGTAAACTTGACTGTTAAGTCCATGGAGTTTAAAGATAAACAATTGTAATCTTAACAACACTTTGTAAACTTAACTTTTACCTTGTTGGGAAAGTAAAAATCAGTGTCTGTTCTTCAACCCCATTCAATTTTTATTTCTTAACATTAGCCATTAGTAAACCAACATGATCCCTGTTGCCCTTTTATTTGATCACACAATGCTAGTGAAAGTGAAGACACGTGTTATCAAAACATCATAATGTGTGTATGTTAGCAATAGTCAGACGTGCCTTATCAGGCTTTGCTGGAAAAGTCGTCAAACATGAACACGTGACTTACCATATCTCACCCAAACGCACATGTTAACAGATTGTCAGCTGACCTTTAAGGGATCTGTGTCAACTTGAAACGCAGGATGATTCTGGAGCTGTTGCCACAGGGTTCAACTGACTTCCTGGTCCGCTGTGCACACACATAACAGCGCTGTCGAATGAAACGCAGCACTTTCCGCAAGACTGCCCCAAATACTGCCGATCTCTTTAAGATACACTGCCAACAAGCCTTATCTATGTGGATTGTTTTATATAGGACACTAGGGCTTTTCATCTGACACTTTACACTGAGCAATAGAGTTGGATAATTCAGCATTGTTATTTCCTGAAAGAGGATCTGCAGATTTCAACAGAACTACGAAAAAAGGCAACTTGATCTCGTTTAGGAGAGTTGTGGAGAGCTCTCATCTCTCACGCTTCTGCTTTTTCCTCATCCATGCCAGCCTTGTACTCAAAGTCCTTTTGTCGCTACAGTATTCCTTTCTTTTGAGTCCTCAGTGTGCAAATGAAATCGCTACACCTCTGTGTGTCTGTGTCACTACCGACTTCACCTTGGATGTTTGCCTATGCCATGTGTGTTGCTCTGACACCTTATTCCTTTTGTAAAATCCAGATTTCCCACTTTATACCAAGAGTCTGTTCACACCAAGAACAATAGCTATAAAGATAACAGTATCTATATCATCCACACCAACAGACGAGAACGTTAGGTTACACTTTATTTTAAAGTGACCTTGTTACAGTGCAATTATACATATAAGTACTGAGTAATATTACTTAACTGCATGTTATTTATTATATGGTTAGGGTTTAGGATTAGGGTTTGGCTTAGGGTTACATGCATGTGATTATGCATAATTAATTGTTATTATAATAGTAAGTACATGTAACATGTGTAACACGGACACCTTAAAATAAAGTGTTACCGAACATTACATTTATTATAAGCACGGCAGTTTTGTTTTCTGCTGCTTTTAATGCGCGAGCTCTTTAAAGTCAGGTGGATTCTGACTGGCTGTCAATGTTTTATTGTTCATCAACTGGGGGAAAAAAAATTCTGAATGTGACTCCAACCTTTTGTTATCCAATGAGATCTTGGATAAAAGTTTGTGAACCCAAGATTGTGCATCTTTTACTGTATGTCAGACAGTATAATATAGATCTTAGCTAAGACTTTGGTCACAAATGACTGGGTGTTTTAACCGGTCTGGGTCTATTTTGACATCCTCATTTACACGCATAATTGAAATGCAAGCCCTTGCGCTAATGTTGGCAATATTTTTCCATTAACAAAATCATGTGAGTCTGGACTCTGGAGTCAGTTTTGGCTGGATAAAACCTATCTTTCTTTATTCTTTAGAGCAAACCTGTGGTAATTTTGATCATAACTTAAATGGATAGCTAAATAATAAGAGATTTTTCTCACATGCACCAATGTTATCAGTTGCTGTTCTCCTCTTGTTTCTTCATATTGTAATTATTTTACTATATGGACCCAAAATGTTCCGTTTCTGAGAAGCTGTCTCAAAGTATCATTGATTACAGTTAAAGTTACTGCAACCAGGAAAGCCTGTAACTTTTTTCCTACATAATGAATTACTTGCCTGATGCCTGATGTTATTGAACACAATTGTGTGAGACTGTTCATTAGTAATTATGCAAAAACATTTTGATGACAGCCCGAGGCATTTCAGAATGACTGGTGTTCAATGAGATTTACAGTCCCAAAAATGTGTCTTGGACCGCAAAATTGTGGAGTGTGCACACGGCTTTAAACAATATTTTCTCTCTTTCTGCTCTTTCAGAACCTGCGTGTGCGAACCGTGAGGGGCTCTGGCATGCCACTGTCCTTTGGTCATCTGCCAGGATCACTGTGTTCAAAGTACATGCTGGTAGATGGCGAGAAAGTGATGTTTGGATCATACAGGTTCGTATACAGACCAAACAGTACGTCTTGCAGTTTTGTCCACCATTGTGGTACGCTTGTTCACTCTTTTTATCATTACATTTGCTGTATTATTCCCATCTTTATAGTTTTACATGGAGTTCCTCTAGGATGAGCCGCAACACAATCACTGTGATGTCAGGACAAGTTGTTGACTTCTTCGACAATGACTTCAGAGAGCTGTATGCTGTGTCTGATAAGGTGGACCTGTACCGGGAGTTTCACATCAGTAAGCCGGCCCTGCCAGTTCCTGTGTTGAAAACGCCAGCGGAACCCAACAAACTCACAGTTCCTGTATCCACGTCACGCTTCCAGATCTCTGTAGGGGACTCCAGACAGGCTGACCTAAAGGTGCCTGCACATAAATACCATAATCCTAAGTACTCTTTAGTCGTTGGAAACAGTCTAGGTGTGACTGGCTCCCTGCAGGATCTTTCTAAGCTGAGAGACTATGTTGACCATGCCTCTGTGAATAACATGGAAAAATTAATCTACACCAATGGGGATAGTGTACGTCCACAGTCCCCTACATCTCCAGATGGGACAGAGGATAATAAGGGCGATGGGAAGAAGCTGTCACAGTTTGGTTCTAAAAAGCAGCGCTCTTCCTTCCGGCATTTCTTGAAAGGCAGAGCAAACAACCAGAGTCCAGACACTCTCTCTAAAACAACCCATCAAAGCACAAAACAACCCGTCACAGATGCAAAACAGATCAGTCATACAGACACTAAGGTTACCAGCAACTGCAAGGAAGCATCTTGGTTGGCCAATCATATTAATGAGCAAGAAGATGCTTCCAAACACGTTACTCCTGCTCCTCGCAAGATCTCAGAGACTGACAGCACTGGTGAAGTTGAAGACACATTTGAGTTCATAGAGAACCCACCACAGGTCAAGTTTAAACTCAAGAAGAACAAAATGGGTCCAAGGAGTGTTTCTCTTCAGACTATTGCCACAGATGGCGAGGATGGTATGTATCCTGACTATACTCATGTACAGCATTTTCAAGAAGTGCAATGTTTTAATTTAGGGCTGCACATTTTGGAGAAAAAATCAAATGCTGATTTTTGGATAAAAACTGCGATAGCAATTCTAGGTTTGCTTGTTTGTAGGGCTACACAATTTGACCCAAATTGTGTGATAATATATCTATTTAATAATAGCAATAACATTCATTTATTGCTATTTATCTGTTATTATTACTAAATAAAAAACAACAAAATAAATATTACTCTTGTAGTATTGTTTGAGAAAAAGTATTTGAGTAATATATAATATATGAGTTGAATAATATATAAAATATTTTATTTTATTATGTTACTATAAATAAACATTACTATAAATAAACTATAAAATTACAATACTAATATTTATGGCCATCTTCATTTCTTCATTTTCCAATGTTTTACCATGAAAGTATGGGAAGATGATTGGCACATGTCGTGTTCCCAAATGAACATTAAAGTGCTCAAGTGGAGCGACACTGAGATGCTGCAAAAGTATAAGAACGCAGTGCCACGCTTCACTCTGAAACATGCATTGCATCTATTGAATCATTTCAATTGCAGCCTTTATGATTTATGCCATATCAGTTTTATTTAGATTAATCGTACAGCCCTATTTTGATTTTTCAGACAGATTTTTCAGACATCTTTTGTTTCTTTTCAGGCCCGAGAGGGCGGAGGCGTAACCAGAAGAAGGCCTGTATTCAGTCCTGAGGTGTCTCTGCCAGAGGAATCAACAAGAACATATGCTTATAAATCAGGACTTTGGATACTAGGACAGGTTTCAACAAGAATATTAAAAGTATATACTGTAAAAAAAATAAAAAAATAAAATTTTTAAAAAGGAAATTTTCTTTATGTTCAGTTTGGACCAGATGTGGATAGTGATTCTCCCTACAATAATATTGATTCAGCTGTCAGCTGAAAAATATTAGTGCTGTGTTTTTAAAGGGAAGTGAGGTTGTTTGAACAACCTCCAAAAAGCTGCTGACACTGTTTGGAGCTGGTGTCAGAAAAAAACAATGACTGAACTATAGTGCGCATGCAGTGATCATGTAACCTATCAGTTACAGAGCTCATAGGTGGACTGCGGAGATCTTTGAATGTAAGAGTCTGAAAATGTAGCATGTTACACATATTTCCTGTTCAGCAGATCTCTACCCTGCATATTTACCCAGTCCTAATCATTTGCACGTACCCAATCCTCAAGTCTGTGGGAAAAGCTCCATAGCAAAGCTGACAGATTACAAATGAAAACATGTCTGATGAGTAGCCATTAAAGGTGCGGTCACTTTTACTGCACCTGCAAAATTTCGCTGGTGAAATCCAGCCATTTCAATAGGAATCTGTAAGATTGGGAGTTTTGCTTGAGGGTGAAACGGTTCCCCATGCAGATTTAATTTGGTCACGTGAAATCGCTGCATTGGTGTTTGAACTGCTTGGTTTGAATGTGACTTCTAAATATATAAACCTTTTTGCCCTCGAAATTTCGCTGAAATTGTGTTAGTGTGATGTCATCTTAATGATATCAATTTGTTAAAAAAAAAAAATACAGTCCAGCAATGTAAAACTCATGGCTTTGTGTTTTGCATGGAATGATTTGTACACTTTTATTATTTTATAAATATAAATGTCTGTACTGTTCCTTTAGGATTTCACACAGAACACATTCTTGACTTTAAAGATGCAAAAACAACACAGCAGAATGTTTAAGAATGTCTTGAGAAAGGGTTTTTATAATAAAAAGCAGACATCTGTTTTGCATGTTTACATAAAACAATTACAACGCAGCACATTGGAAGGCAAAAAAAATGTGTTCGTGTGAACTTACGGCTTATGGAAATAATAGATGTTAGATCAAGAGTGCCAATAAATAAATTGAGGTGGCCTTAAATATATTGGTGATGCTTTTTTCTTTTCATTTAACTCCAGAAGATGTGATCTTGCACTGCTTCTTAACACTGCCTGGAAGAAAAGACAATAAGCCTAATTTACCAAATGTGAGTTTTATCAGATTCAACTGTGAAGTGGCTAACAGCTACTTTTACACAAATTATCAGGTTTATTATTACTGTAGATGTGAGCGGTCAAACGTCATTACGGGGTTTGGTACACTTAGAAAATAACAACTATTGAAAAACTAGTATCATACCTCATTCTTTGAATAATGCAGCAACTTCTTGGCCACTAGAACATGAAATATAACTAACTGCTAGTTAATGTACTGAACATTTGTGGTATACTGCTGGTATTTTTCTCCAAAACACAATGTTTTGGGTTCAAGTCCTCATGAAAAAATCATGAATTGTTAGTTTAGAGTTCATTAAAAATAATTCTGGTAAATTGGGCCACCTTTTGACAGTCATCTCAGTGTTGCCCAAGTTACCTAAATTCTACCTAAAGTAGCCCAGGTTACCTTAATTCACCCTACTGTTTGGGGATTTTTTTTTTCTATTCAGTTTAAAAGACAGGTCTGACCACTGAAAACGCTACCTACATTATCTGAACACCTCTCAGGTGATTCATGGACAGGCTGAATTGTCAGTATATATATATACAATGGTATATCTGTTTTCTGCAGATTGAAATGATAATGCAATATTGTGTTGAATTGTAGCTATATAAGACAACATAAAACAGCCAAAACTAAGGTGATATACACAGTACCTGACCATGCTGACATCGTCAGAGATGCGTCAACAGTTCTCTTAGGCTAACATGGGTGTGACATTTGACTTCCCTTGTTTGTTAAGCGTATTAAAATGTGTTGCTAAAGCATGTACGTTATTAAACCAGTGACCTACATGACCTTGAGCCAGACTCTTCAGTCTACATTGATCACCAAATGGTGCACAACTGCAGAGTTTGCACTTGATGTAAAGTACAGTTCTTTTGAAATTCTACAAGAGTGAATTTTTAGTCTTGTAAGGGAAATGACAGAAAGGGTTGAAGAGATGGCGACCGAATTGGCAGAGATAAAGGAAATGATACACAGGAAGGGGGTGTGCTTTTGTAGACCACAAGTGCAGTATAGATGTATCAAAGGAAGCAACTGTGCAGTCCTTCAGAGTTCAAATGTCGTCTTTTTTTTCAATAGACTAGAGCATAATTTCAGACGTTTCAGAAACAGTCTCTCGTGTTTCAGGCTCAAAAAGCTCATCCAAATACAGCATATTAATTCAGGTAAACTGGGGACACTGGGGAAAAAGTCCCAAATATCTCAATTTCACTTTATATAATTGATATTATAGTCAATCCTCATAATCCCTGCAGTGTATGTACACTTGCATACATACACTGCAGGGATTATGAAGCTTGTCCAACGGTGCCCTCTGCTGGACAAATGTGTGCATTACTTGGCTTGTTCGGTGAAGACCTTTAATTAGAGAATCCTAGTGCACAATCATTATATTTTAATAATATGGTCTTGGTGTATTCAAAAGTTTTAGAAACTATCTGAAATCACAAAAGCTTATAATCAAATAATGGTACATTCATTAAATAAGTAATTTATTATGTACAGAATATGGACAACTTCAACCTAATAAATGTTAATGCTAACTGGCACACCGATATTTACAAGATAGAGATTTTTTTAAATCATATAGTTATAAAATGATAAAAGTACGCTAGTCAAATGGAATGATACAAAGAAAAAAAATAGCAAAATAGTGCTTCAAAAACCCTAACCCTATTAAATGTAGCTTAATTAAAATGTTTTTCATTGAAAATAAAATTGAACTCTCACTTAAATAGGAGCAGAAAAATCCTGCATTTACCAGGAACACTATACAAACTTGTTTCATGTTTAGATATACAAATAAAATCTTTCCCAGGCTTTTTACTGTAATATTTCTCGTAAGCGTTAAATAAATAGGAAACAATTTTTTCACAGAACGCCTGACCACAACACCACCGTGTAAGCGAACCCTGAGGCTGCACGCACAGCAGCGGTGACCTCTGAGTGCTGAGAGGAAGGGCTGAGAATTAGCACCCTGAGAACCTCATTCATCATTTCCAGCTCATTCAGTCCACTGTAACCATCAACGTCCCTGTGGCTACTGTTCAGTCTGTGTGCAACTGTTTCGAAAGATCAGATCCCCTCAGTTCATCAATCAGCTTCAGTCATGTTGTTAAGCGTGGCCGATGATCTTCTTCTTGCGTGCAGATACCAGGTCATAGAAAGGGTCTTTTGTGATGCAAGCTCTAAGAACAAGAGAGGAAACGGTTAGACTCAGATGCCTAGTTTTTTATTCTCAGTTCCTCTGTCAATACTAACATATATATATATTTTTTATTTTATTTTATTGTTTGACTAAGTGTGTGCACATTTCTAACATACTTGACTTCCTCTTTCCCATGACCTACAAAAACACATTGCTGAACTCATGAAAAGTCTTGTTATATTGCCATCAGTATCTTAGTGTCTGAATCATGTTTGTCTCTTATATTTTTATTTCTTCTTTTCTTTCTTTATATTTTCTTTCTTTCTTTTTTTAATCCTCATGTTGTGTTCTGGTCATTTTGACCCAGAGTATTCCTTATTCCTAAAAAAATGCATGTTAGACTAAATTAGACAGAAATTTGATTAAAACTTACTGACTTTGATCATACAGGATATATATATATATATATATATATAAATTGTTTATGTTTTTTGAGAATTTTTCAGTTCAATGAGGTGTACAAACTATCACTCCCTAAAAGAAAGAAAGAAACTGTGCCAACTTCTTGCCATCAATATCTTAGTGTCGGTATCATATTTGTCTCTCATACTTTCTTGATTTTTTTATATTTTCTTTCTTTCTTTTTTAATCGTCGTGTTGTGCTCTGATCATTTTGACCCAGAGAGGATTCCATTCTCTAAAAAAAAAATACAAGATATATTTGACTAAATTAGACTAAAAATGAGAAATTAGACTGACTTTGCTTACACAGGATATAACAAGATCGATGAGGCATACAGTCTACTGTATCACTTCCTAAAAGACATAAATAAGCTGTCAAAACACTGTCCTATCAAAAAGATTGGATTCAAGCATCAGTGATAATATAGCATAATGAGAGATTTACAAGCAATTTTTAAAAGGCCTGTCATTTTTGACACTAAAATTAGGTAAAAGCACAGAACAAAGTTTAAATCATTTATGTGTAAAGTGCTTTTAATTCATTAACTTTTAATAATACGATTTTTTAATAATACTTTTAATAAGAAGAATGCTATTGTAATAATGTAAGCAATAGCATAATGGAAAAACAGGCCAGAAAACTGGACATTTTGCCTCTCCTCATTTCAATGAGGTCTAAAAGAGTTGACTAGTTTACTTATTCACCATTCACTACATAGTGACTATCACGTAGTGTGTTATATGAGAAAAAAGAGACCATTTCAGAAAGTGCCCGTTGTATGATGTTACTGTAAATATGAGTGACGTCCCAAATGACGAAACAATTTTTTATTTGTGAACACTGGATGTCATGTTTTTTTTGGCGTTCAAACTAGGGGTGTGTGCCATTCAAAGATCGCAAATGATATCAAAATCAAGTTTATTTTTAATTGTTCAACTGAATGAATCCATTATAACTGTGCTGTCTGGTACCTGATGGCCTGGATCCAGTCAGCACGCTCCTCTTCAGAAGCAGCACTGAGTCTGTAGGAGTGGTGTTTGCCCATCACAACTCTCCCATCTGTTTCTGTTTTACATGCCTTTATCGTCTCGCCTTTACGATGAGGGCTGAACAACTCCAAACAGAACTGAACGCACACATTTTAAAAGACAAAATGCATATGCTGTCATTTT